TTTTCAATACAGTCTTTACATCTCTTCTCCTTTTAAGCACTCATCACAGTTGTAATATTATACTTATTTATGTGATTATTTCATTAGCATCCACCTTTGCTTCTAGAAGGCATCATGAGGTCTGTTACTGCATCAATTTTTGCTCAACATAGATACTCGATAGTTAGCATAATACTTGGCACATATTATGTGTTCAATTTTTTTTCTAATTAAACTTATTTTGAAAAAAATTGTGATTTCATGTGCATTATAATAAATAATGGAGAGATCCTTGTACCCTTTATTCAGTAACCAATGATAACTTGTAAAACTATAGTACAATATCATGATCAGGATATCGACATCCAGTTAAGACACAGGACATTTCCATCACTAGGAGGATCTCCCCTGTCGCCCTTTTATAGCCACACCCACATTCTTCTAGCCCCCTCCCAGCCCTTCCATATTCCCTGGTAACCCATAATCCTTTCTATTTCTATAAATTTGCTATTTGAAAACTGTCATATAAATAAAATCATACAGTATGTTACTAATTCTCTAGAGATTCATCCTGTTTATGGTATCAATAGTTTCTTCCTTTTTATTGCTGAGTAGTGTTGAATGGTATGAATGTACCACAGTTTTTTTTTACCATTCACTCACTGAAGAATATCTGGCTCTTTTCTAGGTTTTGGCTATTATGAATAAAGCTGCTATAAATACCCACGTACAGGTTTTGTATGTGTGTGTGAAAGTAAGTGTTCATTTCTCTGGAATAAAAGACAAGGAGTAAAATAGGTGAGCCATATGGTAACTGCCCGTTTAGTTTTTTTAAAAACTGCCAATTTTACATTACAACCAACAATGTATGAGTGCTCTGGTTTCTCCACATCCTTACCAGCTCTCAGTGTTGTCACTATTTTTAATTTTAGCCATTCTGATAGGTGGGTAGTGATGTTTCATTGTTTTAATTTGCATTTCCCTAATGGTTAATGATGTTGAAGACCTTTTTATGTGCTTATTTGCTATCTGCGTATTTTCTTCAGTAAAATGACTGTTCGTATCTTTTGCCCATTTTCTAATTAGATGGCTTTTTAAATGCTGTTTGATATTTTAGAATATATGTTCTAGACACTAATCCTTTGTCAGATGTTTGTAAATATTTTCTCCCAGTCTGTAGCTTGATTTTCTTCCTTTTAACAGGGTCTATAACAGAGCAAAAGCATTTAATTTTGATGAGGTTCAATTTATCAATTATTCCTTTACAGACTATGCTTATCTTCCTTCCACTGAATTGATCTCGTGCCCCTATCAAAAACTAGTTGGGCATATTTATGTGAGTCCTTTTCAGAATTCTCTGTTCTGTTCCACTTATCTATGTGTCTATACCTACAGCAATACCAGCCTTGATTACTGTAGCTCTATAATATTTTGAAATTGGATACATTGACTTCTCACACTTTCTTATTATTCAAAACTCTTTTAGCTATTCTAGTTCCTTTACCTATCCATATAAATCTTAGAATAATCTTGTCTATATCTATGAAATTTATATTTATAATATGAATGAATAACAAATGCTTAACAAATTAATGCTACATTTCTCTTTGGAGGTTGTATAATAATTTAAATTCAAACAGACCAAAACTGAATATTTTCTCCAAACCTGCTTGTCCTCCTACTCTCCTTATATGAGTTTACAGAATCACCATCTACCTAATAGCCAATGTTAGTTTTCAGAGTCACTTATTAATTTATTCAACAAACATTACTGAGCACCTAGATATACCAGGCACAAAGCCATGTGCTAGGATAATGAATAAGATATGATCCCTATTCCCAAGGCAGTAAAAGAGAAAAGACATAAAAATAACTACACTATGGTATGATAAGTACCATGGGAGAGGTATACACAGGTATTTTATAATACTGAAAAGGAATAAGCACATTGTCTAGGAAAGTCTGTAAACACTGTAATAGAGGGAAGGTTTTAGCTGAGTATTGAATGATTAGGATGAGTTGACTACGCTAACTATGAGGTGAAAAGTCAATACAGTCAAAAAAAATATGTGCAAAAACAGAGCAGCATAGTAACGAAACCTGATTGGGTAGAGCTAATGGAAGAGGTAGGGTACTAGAGAGTAGCTGGAGAGGTGAATATAAGGCAGATCAAGAAGGGAGGGGCTCGTATGTCATGCTAAGGAACTTATTATCTCATTTACACATATGGGAAACCATTAAGAGTTTTAAAAGAGAAACCACATAATCAGATATGAATTTTAGCAGGCCTGTGCTAGCAGCACTGTGGAAGATAGATTAGAAGGGCAAGAGACTGAAAGGCTAATGGTAGGAAGAGGAGTTAGGTGATCCTTATTAGTAGATGCTTGAACAATTCTAAATATAAGATAGTGAAGGCACAATGAACTAAGACATAGCAACACGGAGGAGTACAAAAAGTTTTGAGAAATATTTAAAATGAAGCAACATTTAAAACGTGGGGAAGAGTGAAGAAGAAATCTAAGATATCCACTAAGTTTCTGACATGACTAGTTAATTCAAAACAGGTGGAAGAAACAAATTTTAGTCTCCTATAGCTTAAAAGGCTCAGAAACAGAGTGTTCTTTCCAATCGCAGGATTATACATCCAAGTTTAGTCCTACTCAAGGCCAGACTACAACGAAGTGAACGTAACTTCAGTACACCAATCTAGCCTCCAAACTGCAAACACTTAATACACCACCAGAATTCAGGGGGTAGGAGGAGTGAGGAATAGAAATAGGAAGACCTTGGAAATGGGTGAATAAGGGACTGACAGCCTGAAGTAGTACACTGATTTTTCATAGCTCCCAACAAAGTTTTGCTTCTCTCGTAAAGAAGACTGGTTAGGGCTGAGGACCATGGCTAAGTGTTAAAGGTGTGTATGTCAGCTATCTGGCTGGCCAGTGAGCTGACCGAAAAGTAGGCACAATCTGAGTGAAAAAAGAGACGAAAATCTCAAATAACAGCAAATACAGAGATGGACAAAAGTCTCAAAAGCAATAATGGCAGGGAAGTGAAACTGATCTAGCCCTTTGTAAAAAACATTTTCACATAAATATTTTAAGAACTGTTGAGATTAAAATGACAATAAATTTCAATGATCATTAATTTATGAATATTTATAGGATAGCTACTAATGTACCAGAAATTGTTAAAAAAAACAATTTTTATTGGTTAATGACACCATATTTCTATAGGGCTAACAGCTTTCAGTAGACTTCAGTATAAGTTACTTCATATACTGTCCTCGAAGAGATGATGTTTTCCTATAAATTACTAAATACCTATATAATAAAAGACAATACATGACAGATGTCACAGAAAACACATGAATTGTTATAAAAGCTCATAGAAAAGACCACCGCCTGCTGTACTTGATGATGAGAAGCCTTCTTTGGAAGAGACACACTTGGGCTGGACCTTAAAAGGTAAGTGAGATTTTATGGAATGGAGATGGGAGAAGAGGTTAATCGAAGCAAAAGTACAGGCATGAATCAAACTATGGAACCAAAAAGGCAACAAATACATTTGGAGATGGTGAGTATGCGCACAGAACACAAGTCCAGTAAAAGGTTTCATAGTTAAAGAAGCACCAAGAAAGAGTTCATTATAGTAGTAGGATAAGAGTTTTAAAGACCAAAAAAAAAAAAAGATTTTTCAGAGTTTCTGTAATTTTACATTATTTTTATAGTTGAAAAAAACAAATGAACCTATGGTGGCATCTCCCTCATCCTATCTTTCCTTCTAGCATTTTGACTAGTCTTATCTACAATATAGTGCAGCCATTCAGAGCAAGAACTCTGAAATCATCCTGCCAGGCTTCAGTCTCAGTTCTGACACTTTCTGAGACCTTGGGCAAGTTTAAATCCCCTATGCCTTACTTTCCAGATTTGTATAATGGCAAAACTGGAAATTACCTACTTCATGGAGTTGGTGTGAGAATTTAGATAATTCACAAAAGACACTTAGGAAAGATTCTGAATCATAGAATTCACTCAATAAATATTAATGCACATTATGTCATATTATACATTTTAAATTCTTGCTGACAAGTTTGACTAGAAACTTAGCTGAAAGTTCTACAAAGCAGTGATAGTGGCCAAACCCCATAGGATATTGCTTTGATATCCGACTCACCACAGAGATCAAATCTGGCTTCCTGAGCAGTCTGAAAATTATTACCAACATGTCACAACAGGAAATGGAAAGCCTATCACCAACATGACCTGGAAAATAGCCAATATACTAACAAAATAATAACCTCAGTCACTCTGTTCCTCTGAAGTGTATATATCCAAAACCAAGTTAAATATTTACATCCTTATGAGCTACATATGATTGAAAACACATGCTAAAACACAATTTCTATGTAAAAATGTAGGTACTAAACACTCACATTGACCTCTTCAAATAATTTGACTCATTTTTCAAGCAAAGAATCAGTCTTCGAGTTACTAAACATGTGGTAATCACATGGTAAAATATATCAATGTAGAATCGTTACGTCGTACACCTGAAACATAATATTCTATGTCAACTAGACCATTAAAAAATCAGTCTTTGAAGAATGTGAAAGGTAAAATGTGGGAGCGGGATGAAATCTGTCATGTATTCTGCCAACAATGGTTAATGGTTTGTGTATACATAACGTTTTGATCTGAGAAGCTTCCCTAGAATCTCCGTATAATATGCTTAATTTTCCGTATAACAATGGTTAATGTTACTATTAACCAGAGGTCATAAACGCGTACCTCATTTGAGAAATTATCTGTAGATCACACATCTGGGCTTTTTTTAGCCATTCGGTGCAAACAGCAGCAGCACCTTTTAGCATTTTAACTCCTGTAAGTATGTACTCTTGAGCTACACAGGTGGTATTTTCATTACTCATAAAGGCATCCAAAATTGACATTGGTTAAATTATTTCCATACCGACCTCATCAAGAAAAAAATCTTCAAAATTAACTCTTTAAAGATTAAAAGCATTTCTGGGAAGATTCAACAATCAATGACACAAGCCACAATGATGCTGTAGTAACTAAACTGCATAGTTCAAAGAAGTTTATAGTTTGCAAAATTGAACTTCTGAATTACAAAAAAAGATTGGCATGGTCACTATTGATTCAATTCTCATAAACATGCATAATGTATATGCAATTACCTTATACGTGCTCCAGTTTTTAAATGCTATACAAATAAAGCATATTATACGGAAAATTAAGCATATTATACGGAGATTCTAGGGAAGCTTCTCAGATCAAAACGTTATATATACACAAACTATATCTTGATATACATGTAAGTCTAAACTAAAGAAAAACCCAATATTTACTTTAAATTTGGGCAAATTTAGCGAAAGTAAACTCCATTCTGAGTTCAATTTTAATCTTTTCCTGGAACCTACTTCCATTCTGTTCAAAGGTCCTTCGACGCTTCCTGAATAGGTGAAATCTGAGAGAATGTTCGAGGGTATATACCTGAACGGGGTAAATTTAACATCGTGTAAGTAAATTTGTTATAAGATAAACCAAGATGACAGCCCTGGCATCACAGCTGACCCAAAATTCGGGAACATGACAGCTAACAAATCTTCACTCAGAACGCTACTCACCTTGCAGGTCAGAGGCATAGCAAAATCGGTGGCTGTTTTCTGCGCTGCCTTTGGATTCTGCATCTGTTTCAAGCCTAAAAACCTAGCTACCCTGGGAGGTCCACCTGAATAAGCTACACACAACGGAAACTACCGCAATTTAAGACACCTGGAGTTTTCTACCGAAAAGGTTACGGAAATTTTAGCAAGTGAGACTTTTTTTGGCCTCCTTCAAACACGGGAGCAGCATTAAGTTAGATCCGCTTGCTTTGGGCCCTAGAGTCAACCTGTTTCTACCCAAATTTGAAAATAAAAACCTCCAACCTCACTTTTCTTCTAAAAGACTAAAACTGACCCATGCTCTAACTCGGGAATGAAGTAGAACGGTTTTCAATCCACCACACCTTCCTTCCTCATCACGCAGCCCAATTCCGGCCGCGGAAGAACTTGCACTACGAGAAAGAGGCTGTACGTTCCGAACCAAAGCCGCGGAAGAGGAAGAAAAGCAGCAGGATACCGGAGTCCGACAGGTGCACCGACGCGTGACGTCACCGCGTAGACGTGAACGGCCGTGCAGCGTCCGGCCGCCCCAACCCTCCTCCTAGGCGCCTATTGGGCAATGTTGAAACAGTGGGCGGGCCGAGGCTGGGGCGCGGGGAGGAGGAGCCGGGCGTGCTGGCGAGCACCAAGGGGCCGAGCTGGCTGTGAAACCCTTCCTATGATTCAGCTCGCGTCCCTCTCGCTTTGCTGTTTGCCCCTGTGGTGACCTCGCGAAAGGACGGGAGGCGGCCGCCTCGGGGGAAGCAGTCTGAGGCCGCAGGCGCGTGCCGCCCCCGGCGTCATCGCGAAGCTCCGCTACATGCCGGCGAGCGAAGACAGCGTCCCGAAGCAGCACGTGAAATGCTGGCTAGCATCGGTTCCGAAACGGAGAAGCAAAAGCAGCCGTCGAGGGGCGCTACTAACTAAAACGTTAATCGAGAGAAATGTGGGCCGTTGAATTTAGACCAAATACACAGTGCTACCTGTGCTAATAGGTCATCGGCTGGAAATGCAAAAGGGTCACCTCACTTTATTTGTCGCTGCCGGTTATGTTCCTAACATACATGTAAAGTAAATCTTTAACTCGTAGCCATTACTCGTTTTCAAAACTGCTTGGCAGTTAAGTATTTTTAAGAAAATATGTAAAAATTTGTTTTTAAAGTCTAATTTCAACCTACTCAAAACAGTTGAATATGATATTGAAGGATTTTAATCGTAGGCATGACAGACTTAGTCACCTAGATTCAAAAATTCTGCTATATTTGCTTCATTTATATTTAGGTATATATATTTTTTTCCCTGCAGCATGTGAAAGTAGGAAGCAGGTATGATACTTCACACCTAGATACTTGAACATGTATCTACTAAGAATAACTTCTCCAACACAATCAGAATGCCATTATCACGTGTGAAACTAAAGAGCCAAGTTATCTACCCTCAACACCCAAAATCCAATGGTTGGACAGGAATAAGGTAAGAGTTGTAGGTATTCCAGTTCAAAAAGCAGAAGAAAGGTAGGAGTCACTATGCACAAATGCACAGCCACCTTTCACAACCACAGGTAATGAAAGAGTTCTTTGTTCCTCATTACATTAGTTTTTTGTTTGTTTGTTTTTTATGAGAAAAGGAAATCCCCTTTGTGATACCCTCACCCAAAATCCCCTTTGTGATACCCTCACTCAAAAAAGTTTTATTCCTTAGGCCTGAGCACCAGCTTTATCAGCTCATATGTATGTTTCCACCAGCTGACAAACCTCACAGGCTAGGTCACCCATTCATGTTCACTTCTGATTCAGTGCCAGCACCAACCCATGAATCAGGTATCTCTGTCACTTTATTTCAGAATCCCTTTCCCTTCCCTGTCACTAGGCCTTCCATAAAATTATAGTCGTTTATGCAGAGTTCCTTAACTCTGAATGTTAGGCCGCTTAAACAAGCAGCCAAAAAACACCGAAAGTTATTGCTATCTGATCCTTGAACAATGAGGTCTAGTCACCCAACATGTGCAGTAATTAGAGGACCATTCAAGTGACCTTTGTAGGATCAAGGAATTCAGCTTCTTGCAATTAAACTACACCCTACTATAGTGAATATTCTAAAAAGTGTTAATCTGGTTTATTTGGAAAGCCTAAAGATTAAAAAGTCTTCTAAGGACGTATCTTAGAACCTTCCAAAATTAGAGATTTTCTCTCAGTGCCAGGTAAATCCTCTCTCAAGGAGAGGCAGTCTTTTGAGTGCAAGGAATTGGAAATTATGGGCTATCAGACAAAAGAGTTTCACTCTGTTAATTCTTCATAACTTACACTGCTGAATAATACCCAGATATGACCTGCTTCATGTGTGAAATACCTTCCAAATACATTACCAGGTGAGCTATCCCAGAGGTCATGGAAAGAAAGGCTAGCACACCAAAAGAATCAAAGGAGAAAAAACTAATACACTTAGGATAGGGTACAAGAGAGATGGAAAGACCCATAAATGGAAATCTATGGTTATGAAATGTATATATGTCCTGTCTCTCTTTTTAGCACATTAGCTTTCTTGTTGATAGAATGGTAATTGGACCAGAATTGATGTTTGAGCAGAAGTCCAAGGAAGGTGGAAAGATACCTAAGCCAATGACATACTCTGGCTGTATTGGAGAGATGCAAGGCAAGAATGTCTACCCACAGCAGTAGCTTGCCAATTAACCTGTTGAGCAGGTACAGGTTTTATACTTCTTGGGTGGGACACAATATGAGTGTCACCACTGGGTGGCAGAATTAAGACCTGTGAATGTTGACTATCTCCTGTATATTTACTGTGTCATAAATATATAGTGTTTAATGAATATCAGTGCCTTTCGTAGTGCCTCATGAATATTAGGCATCTCTTGGTCTTTCCAGGCTTTTCTATCTATGTTCACAAATATATGCCCTCTTATCTGTCCACCATGTCTCACAAGTTAGTAACTTACTTATCTGTGTTTAACACATGAGTTTTGTCCATCCTATTTATTTCTTCCAGGGCAGAATTGAATATTCTCAAACAACACAGTTCTGGGCTTCAAGCTGGTGTCATGTGATGGTGATGATGTAGTCAAACTTCTTATGATTCTTTTATTACTTTTATCAAGGTATATTTTGTGGAGCCATAGTAATATCCAAGCACAATATTCTTTTCTTTTACTTGGGAAACTATTGGATGAATTTCTTAGATTAATTTTTAGAAAAATGTTGAAAATCAAGCAAAAAATTTTCTTAGCTAAGTGGAATTTTTCACAAGAGATTGACAGACATTATATGTTTTCTTCTCATTCCACATATGTAGCGTAATTTTGGAAAGAGGCGCATAGACTGAGAATAATAGACAATAGTCAGTCTATTAACTATATCTGCTTTCTATGATCCTTTTATAAATCCTAAATCCTTTTATGGTAGTGTATTAGTTCTTACATGGGGATTATCCCAGGCTCTCTTATAAGTGGGCAAGTAGAAGTCTACTTGCATATTTGGTTTTGTAATATTATTTATATTATGCACCACTTTATTCCTTTATGAGAACTTATCTGTTTTAAAATCTTTGATTTCTGACATAAATAACCATATTGTCAGTAGTTCTCAACCTTCACTTTGCATTGGAACCATCTAGGGAGCTTCAAAAAAAAAAAATACCCTTGCTTGGGCCCCACTCTCAGAAATTCTGTTTTAATTCCTCCAAGTTTGGGCCTGAGCATCTATATTTTTAATTATTCCAGTTAATAAGCAGGACTCAGAAGCAGTACATTAGACATGGGATAATCTATTTAAACAAAGTCTTATGTGATAGTTTGGTGATAAAACAATTAATTCCATCTAGGGAAGAATTTTCCCTAATTCCTCTGGTATTGCTGTTAGAGAATCTGGGTGTTTCAGATGGTAAAGACTATAGCTAGATCCTTCGAACATTTCCTTTATGTGCCCTAATGTGAGTACTTTCAACTGGATCTCATTTCTTCTCAGCAAGTGTTACAGAAGGGATCCTGTTGATTGGGGTTCTTAACAGATCCTTTACACTGAGGAGGATGATAAAGAGGGAGTTTCCTAGGGCTGAGATAATTCTCAAGAAGTGTTTATCGATCTAGCGGTGGGCTTTTCCCACACAATAAAAATATATCAATCAATTTGATCTCCATATTCTGCTCCTGGAAGCTTAAGAGAATAGAAGTTTGTATTAGTATCCTATTGTAACAAATTCCCACAAATGTAGTGGCTTGAAACAACACATTTATTATCTTTGAGTTCTGTAGGTTAGAAGTCAAACCTACAGAACTAAATCTCACTGGCTAAAATCAAGGTGTTGGCAGAGTTATATTTCCTTTTAGAGGTTCTAGGGGAGAATCTGTTTCTGTGTCTTTTGCAGCTTCTAGAGGCCACATCTTGGCTCATTGCCCGCTTCCTCCATCTTCAAATCCAGTAACGATGGATTGAATCCTTTCCATATCCTATCATTCTGAACTTTTTTCCATAGCCACATCTCCCTCGGACTCTCTTGTTTTCCTCTTTCAATTTAAGGATGCTTGTGATTACATTGAGCCCACCTGGATAATCTAGGCGCATCTCAAGGTCAGTTGATTGACAACTTTAATTCTTCCTTGCCTTGTAACCTAATATATTCACAGATTGCAGGGATTAGGGGGCAGGGATATCTTTGGGTGGCCATCATTCTGCCTACCATAGGTTGCTTAAGTCACCTTTTGACCATAGGTATTATATGCATTTTTAAAAAGCCCTCACTGGGGCGGGGGAATTGGTTAAAGGTGTTCAAAGGTTGTAAGATAAATTAGTACCGAGGATGTAATGTACAGCATGATGACTGTAGGTAACACTGTTGTATGGTGTATTTGAAAGTTGTCTCATCACAAGAAAAAAAAAAATTTTTTTTATGTCTTTATGAGATGATAGATGTTAACCAAACTTACTGTGGTAATCACTTCACATTATATATAAGTTAAATCATTATTTTGTATACCTTAAAGTTATACTGTATGTCAGTTACATCTCGAAACTGGAAACAAAATGAAACAAGCAAACAAAAATAAATAAACTCTCAGGAAGTATTTAGAAACATCGAAAAATGAGTTATGTGAGTCAAGTCAGGTTATTCTACTTTAAATCATATGTTTTGGGTTAGAATTGAATTGAAGCAGTAATAACAAAACTCTACCAATACTCAAATTAGCTCGCCCACAGACCAACCAACAAAACTTTTAAGCCCTTAAGGAAAGAATTCACAGTGGTGTTTACTTATTCCAACCAAGTCTAGGACTGCTTGTTCACTAGTCTTGCTGGTACCCTGGCAGGTATAAACACAAACAGATGGTAGACATTACCAGTGAGTGGAGGCGATGTAAGTCATTGCCTTCTGCCAGCAATTCCACCACTTAGGGAGTGGCAGGTTTTAATGTGCTATTTTATAAAATTAACAAAATAAATGAAAAAGAGCACTAGGAATCATATTGCGTTTCTTTTAGATTCTTACTCCCTGGCCTTTGTCAAGTTAATGTAAGTTTTCTTTGAAGTAAAAAATCTAGAGGTAGGATTATATCCCGTTAACAACTTAAATACTTGAAAAACAGTTATACAGAAAATCAGGGAAATGAACAAGGCTGTATAGATCATTTCATGTGTTTCTGAGTTGTTTCAGAAAAAGAACTTTGATTTTACTACTTGTGTTTCAGACACATTGGCAAGAGGAAGTGAAAGGGATGTAGATGTTCTACTAGGAAAATAGTGATATGGTTCTAATCTAGAATTTTCTTCTGATTCCATCTTCATCAGGGAAGTAATTGAAAATGACCTTGTCTTATCCTTTGCCTTTTTCCCTAAGAAAGAACATGAAATTATCGAGTAGATTTACACCCCTGATTACATTTGAAGCCTTCAACATTGCAATCAATCTTCCAGTTTCATGTGATTCTTTCCTACAAAACTCCTGTCTAAGCCTCGTTGGAACTTGATACACTCTGAGCTATTTCAACCAAGTACATTCTCAGTTCAGTCTCAGGATGTGACTTCTTTCTCAGGCTCTGCACAGCTAAGGGCTCAATGTTTTGCTTTATTCTTCCTAACTAAAAATAGATTAAATCTGCCTCTTCAGAATGCTGACAATTCTACGGGCTCTTGCAGGTAACCTAACCCAGAAAGCTGGAAACTCAAGAACTGATAAGATAACTTTTATCTTTGTATTGAGCTAGTTCTACCTGATTAAGATCCAGAAATTCAGCAGGCTGTTACTGTTTAAACCTAAGCTATACGTAGCTAATGGTTAGCTCAAACTATGTAAACCTAGATAGAGATGGCTCTCAGGAATTGGCTTAAAAATAAAAATTCCTCTCTTAGAAGGTAGAAAGAGCCCTAAATGCAAAGACACTTTTTCTCTCTCTTGGATGTGAATATCATATGTCTGCAAGAGATCTAGATTTTAAGAGAATCCTTTTCCTCATACTTAAGGTTTTAAGGCTTTTTCTTCAATCACAAAAGATTGCTTGTATGGCCATATAGTTTGATCAAAAATATGCACCTACATAAATGCGTGGTCTTTTAATAACTTCACAAAAGAAAATATTCAGTGTAATTCTACTATCAACTATTTGCTCTAATTTGTTATCCTCTATTTTGTTTTATCTTGTAACCTGCTTTCTAGAAAGAACAAATAAAAATGTCTGAGCCTCGAATATGTCTATTCCTGCCATCTAGCATAGTGCTTAGTCCATTGTTAATAAATTATATTTCTGAATAATCTCAGGTAGAACAACACTTCAGTAATATAACTAGTCCCTTTCCACTTGCCATATTATATACTACTATTTTATTATTTTCCTACTAGAAAGGAGGCCTACAAGTATAACTTTACATGTAAGTTTACAAATAATTACTATAATTTTAAAAATTAATTTAGCATTGATATTTCTTTTTCAAAATGGAAATATTGGTATAGTATTTCTCGATTATTAAAACAAACTTTTTCTTTTTTAATAGACAACATGAGCATGAGACCAATAGGTAAATGGAAGAGAAATCCATTAATAGATATAAATATAAGTAGGAAATTCAATATAATAAAGTTTACATTTCAAATCAGTAGAGAAGGAAATCACATTTAATAAATGATTTTGGCATAACTAGCTTTCTTCCAAAAGAATATAAAGCTAGTCTCTATGTGTTAATCACATACAAAAACAAATTTCAAATGCATTAAACTTATTAAACAATTAAACAAGAACATTGAGATTATTTGTATAATTTTGGAGATGAAGGAATATTCGCTTGGCAGATTGAGAAGCCTAAATGACAAAAAGTCTACCATATTTGACCACATACAAATTTGCAAATTTCTGCATGGCCAAAGATATCTTAAAAAGTACTAAAACATTGGTGAGAGACTGCCAGAAAATATTTGTTCAATAATATGACAAAGTCATTTCCATATTTTACAAACAGCACAAAATGATGAAAAGATATATAGAAAAGGGCAAGGGATATAAAAAGCAGATACTGAGGAAGAAATTCAAAAGTTTTGCAAAATTAAGAAACATCCAGTGGTGGTAGAAATAGGCACTTTTTGTATAAAGCTGTTGGGAGTGTGAATTTCTTGAACTTCTGAAAAGTAATCCAGGTGTAGTAGATAGTCTGTAAATATGACCACTACTGATTCCTTCCCTGCCTGTAAATCTTGTCTGGCCTTTAACCTTATTTTCACCAAGAATGTGGCAGAAGTGACACCATATCTGTTTCTGGCCTAGCCTTTAAAAGGACTGGCACGTTCAATTTCTTCCTTAATAGAAGCCAGCTTTTAAGGGTAATGACTGTCCTAAGACCATAATTTTTTGTGCAACCCAGGCTACCCATGTGGAGAAAGAGAATTGTGGAGGAGTACCAAAGCACCAGACATGTGAGGAAAGCTTCTTGGACCATCCAGACCAGCACAGTTGCCAGCTCAATGAAACTAAGTGAATGAGCCTAGCCAAAGCCATGTGGAGCAAAAGAACCACTCAGCAGAACTCTGTCTAATTTCCTGGCCACAAAATTGTGAGAAATAATACAATAAATCGTTGCTTTCAGTCACTAAGTTTTAGGATGGTTTGTTACACAGCCATATATAACCAAAGCACAGGAATACCTTTTAGAGAGAGAAAAAAGCATACTTTTTGACTCAGCAAACTCACTTAAAAGATTTTGGTACATTCATAACATGGAATATTGATATCATTAACAAGGAATAGTTGATCTCTAGAGAGATGCTCATGATATACTGTTAAAATGCAAGTTGAAAAATAATATGTATACTATAATCTCATTTTTAAATATTAAAACAAGTACATATAAATAAATGCTCACTTATATTTTTATGAGCATAGAGAAAAATGTAGATAATATTCATGAAATTGTTAACATTGTCCTCCTGGAGGAGTAAGCGTGGGGTGAGTTCTGAAAACAGAGCATGCTTTCTACAAAGACTAGCAGTTTATATTCATACTAACAGTTTATGACAGGAACCTAAGGAATTGTCAAAGGAGATATCTGACTAACCATTCTTTATAAAAGCAGCAAAAAAGATTTTGCTAGATTAGCAATTGTCAATGTTTTCATGCTGCTTTTCTGTATAAAGGGATGTGGGTAGAACTAGGGTTATTGTGCATTCAGACACCAAAATTCCTACTGACTGACTGGGGGTGGAAGGGTCTAAGGAGGTTAGGCTGGCAGTAAGAAAATGCGGAAAACAAGTCTTGCTTGGAGATTGAGGAATAAATGAACAAAGCAGATTTTCTCCAGTTTGCCAGGTTGGATAACTTGCACTGCCATCTTCTGGCAAAGAAGCCAAAACTTTTAATTTCCGTGCTAGAAATAAAGTTGGTCTTATAAAACAAGACTAAACCAAAGACTGGCAAGAAAACCCAGAGGTCTTGGTGTTGGGTGTGTTGAGGAGGGGTCGAGAGAGAAGGAAGCTGATTTCTTTGAAGAAAAAGTTGAATCATTTGACCCCTGAGATCTCTGGCAAAATCTATGGTCTCCGAGCTACATACAACATGTTTACAGCTGGTACATCTTGGAGCCATACCATCCCGCTTCAGCTTCAAGTTTGGATTTTCCCGCATCTCCACGTAAGGCTACCCAGATTTTCCCTTATTACAGAAAAATCTGTTTCTTAGAAAGCTCTGCCATGAAAAAAGGTACTTGGATTACTAAACCTTTCAATATACCGGCAAGTAATTTATACACAGATTAGATGTAAAGTTGTAGGAAACCACAAATATACCTTGAAAAAAAAAATGCTTTTCAAGACTTAAAAGTTCTTTAATCATCCAAAATATACTAGATAAAGGCTTGCTTTTTAAAGCAAAATTACTTTAAAATGTGGCACCCCGAATAGCCCTTTTTTAAAAAGTCCTTTTCTCTGTGCAGTATCTATGTATGAGACAAGTTTATAATATACTTTATTCCAAATCAACTTCCAGTAGTGAGTTCTCGCCCTTATCTCGCTCTGCTATAATCCTTTAAACTTCTCTTTTTTTTTTTTCCATCTTCTTACTTAACATCTACCGCGAGCAGTGCCCTGGCCACGCCCCGCCGCTGTATCCCGGCCACCTCCGCTGCGCGCGCGCTGACGTCACACGCCAGCGCCAGTGACGCGCCGTCCTGTCCACGTTCTGTACTCACTCGAGGGTTTAGGGGCGGTAGGGTTTGAGTCAGTCTGGCGTCCCAAGCATTTCTCCGCATAACCCGGAGTCTAAAGCGGGCATTGCGAAGCAGGAGGACGTGGCAGGCAGGTAGCCTTCCAATCTCAAATCCCGCCCGACCCCTACTCCGCTGAGGCCACTAGCAGCCGCCTCTGAAGTTGGAGAGGCGGTAACTGAGGCACTCCCCCTGCTGCCGCCCGCCGTTTCCAAGGGACTCAGCAACCAGTTTGTTTCGTCCAGGAAGTGTATACCTGTTTCACGGGGCGTTGCCCGAGGCAGGACTGAGTCAAGCTTGAGCGGTCAGCCAAAGGCTAGTGTCAGGTGTGGGAGTGTCACTGCCCCCTTTCATACTGGGCTGTGAGCTCCGGGTTAGACAGACTTAGTTTCTCTTTCAAGATGTTATTTTCGAAATGCGGGATAATGCTTCTGCCTCAATAAGCCTAATAGGAAGACTGCCACACCTAGACTTTTGCTTATCGATCGTCACCGTCATTCCTACTAACGCCCTGTGTCGTTGAGGTGAGTTGCACTTGGGGGAAGCAATGATGTGCAAAATAGTAAAGTCATATTGTAAATGAGGAAACCTTAGATTCGTTCACGTAGAGATTGCATGGATACCTACCTTAAATGCACGGAAAAATAATATCCTTTTCTCATTAGAATGTTAATTCTCCAAAGAACAGCATGTTTTACAAAGCAATCCTCGGACATTATTTAAAAAGCTAGAATGATAATGGAATTAAAATAATAGAAATCTTGGTGTGGATAAGCATCTACACGCTTATATGTTGTCTCTGATCTTAAATTACACATACATTTTAATTAGAAAATGAGTAGCAGCTGATAGCCTATAATCTTATATTTCAGTTTCCATAAGTTGAAAAATTTCCATATGTAAAGTATTAGAAGTTCTATTTTCACAGTTCATCATAATTTTTTTTTATGCAGGCCTAATTTTTTATTCTCTAAGATCCACCTACAAGAAGCAGAAAAATGTTTTATTGCCATTCTAAATAACATCAGAAATATTTATGAAGGCTTAAAAGTAATATCCAAAATGTGCTGGTAATAGCCTTTTCTTGTGATGCAGCAATATTGTAGACATAATGGAGATGAGCCAAATATAGGGAGAAGTAGTCCTTTGTTTCTAGTTTAGGTTTGTCTGGTATTAGAGGATCCACAGCTCTACCTAGTTTAAAATTGGGCATTGTTCTAGGTGAAAGGTAAGGAGTCTATTTTGTGGGAAAGCAGGTTTTTGCACAATAAGTCACCATTAGAAGTTTAGTAAGGGTTATGGAACTTGGCCACAGGAGTTCTTCTGAGGTCATTTTAATAATACATGGATATTGAATTCCAGGTAAATTTTATTCTGATCTATCTTCTAAATCATGGTCATGACACCATTTCATGAATATAAATTATTTACATATTGGTAGTTTCCATTAAGGAAGCCATTAATTGTTGCCTGAAGAGACTTTCAGAGAAAAGAAACAAAAATTTTGAAAAAAAAAAAAAGGAGTATGAATCCCATTTTTGCTTTCTGCTTTTTTGAGTAATGAGCAATCAGGCAGGGACTTTCCTTACTGAGAAGAGAAATTGACTCCCTCACTCAATTCCAAATAGTGTTTATTATTTTGAGAGAACTATATATAGAGATTGTAGGTGCAGAGAGTACCATAGACTTCTTGAAATCTGTGGACATTCCTTTACCAATGTTTCCCTTTAGAACACCAAATAGCTGATACAGCTGAAGAGACTTAATGTCCCATATTGTTGAGGATAAAGTTTTTCATTCATATACTCTGACTTTTTTCATAATCGTGCACAAAATTTTATTATGCTAAACATTACTTATTTGTGGCTTTTTGTGAGGAAAGATGTCTAATTTCACTAGAGGCAAGATTTTTTTTCTGGAGCATGGATACATACTTGAAAACAATAGTGATGCCATATAGAAAAACTTTGAATGTCAGGGTTAGAAGTTTGGAAATGGGGAACTCTTCAATATTTTAACCAGAGAAATTGATTTAGGTAGCATTCTTCCTAGTTTTTTCTATCAGTATTTATTATTGTTTTTAAATTTAAATTTAATTCATTGTTTTGAATAGAAGGTATAAAATTCAGAAGGTATAAGGGATTGAAAAATCATCCTCTCAACTAAGTTCTCTTCCCTGAAGGCAGTCAGTATTACCAGTTTATTGTGTATTCTTTCAGAGATATTACATATATAAGCAATTATGTGTGTGTGCATGT